GGCTACTGGGTCTTTTGGTTTGCATAAGATGTTTTGGAGGGCTTTAGTTGTTTTGTGTGCTAAGGAGATGCCATGTGGTTGTAATACTCCTTAATCTCGCTTAACAACCATTTATTTAATGATGGCTCGAAGTTACAATGGCCTTGGAAAAAGTGCTTTACAACCTGTACTTGCATCACGTGACTGCAGGGGGTGGTGCAATGGTTTGTGACATTCGTTAGAAGTCCACCTTCAAACTCTTTGATATTATAAATCACAGCTAGATCATCTGTTTTGCAATTCTTAGAATCCCTTCTAAATTTCACTGCAGAATTTTGTTGGTGTAGCTACAAAATATTGATAGCATGGTTGTTCTGTTATCTCAGGAAATGATCTTCAAAACTGAACTAATACACTTCAAAATGCAAACTATTACTCCCAATCTTTTCTTCTAAAACTTGAGGAGAGAAAGTCAGAACAACCTGCCTTTTCCCCCACATGCCTGAGATAGCCATACCTGTTCTGCATCACCAGTCAACTCTCCCTTGACTTCAGTCATGAAGATTACCCATGTTTCAGAGGAAACAGCATTTTCTGCTCATCTGGGACTACCAATATTTTATTTTCAAATAGCACTATTAAATTACAGCTATTTAATTAATATAAAGCAGGATTCTTAATCTGAGGGCTACAGACCCTTGGGATCCATGGATAGATTTCAGGGGGTCCATGAACTGAGATGGGAAAATATATATTTCATAACCTTCATTTTCATAACCTGTAATTGAAATTCAACTTTTCATTCAATAATGAATTTAGGCAACAAAATAATATATGGCCTTTAGACTCCAAAACTGTTCATTAACTTCAATAAATCTCATTATCTAAAACCAGTATGCCCTAAAAAAGCAAAAACAATACATGTGATTGTGTAATGTACTCTCAAAGGTGTCCATTGTACAAAAAGGTTAAGAGTTCCTGGTGTAAAGTATGTGGAGCATGAAGCCAATAAAGGAAAATCGTCCTAACGTGTAAATGTAGCAATAGGAACACTTTGTTTAATTTGTATTTCCTCCTGCCTTGCAACTGTTAAAGTCCCTAGATCATGCCAGGAGGGGGGAAAAATGCTAGCAAGTGTAGGAACAGTTTGCAGCTAACTACCATCTTGGCTGTGGCACACATGAGTCATTTTCCCTGCTAAATGTTTCAAAAGTGTGATCTCCATTGACTGATAATCATTTTCATCAATCAAAACAACTTTCACTTCTAGTATCACCTTAGGAAGTGCACAAATGGCATTTCAAACAAATGGCAACTATTCCTCCATCTCTGACCTAATATCCATCATGTTTGTGTTCATTTTATGCAAATCCAGTTAACAGCATGAGATCAATTAAAACATAGCAATTCAATTCATGTATCCTGCTCTTTATATGTTTCCATTAGGATTCATATTGTTTCAGACAGAGGTGCAGAATAGGCACCAGGAAGTATATCTTGTCATATAACCAGTGCCAATCATTCCCGGTCTTTGACCCTGCCGGCTGGAAGGGATGAAAGCCATAATCCAACACATCTGGTAGGCAGCACATTGGGAAAGGCTGCACAACAGCTTTTTCTTAGCTTTGTGGGTGAATTGAAAGCCACCCCATACTAGTTACTTGAATGTTAGCCTTGGTCCTCTCACCCCATGCTTTAGATGGGTTGCCTGTTCTGAACTCATCCTTTAGTTTGGAAAGTTTTCAAAGCCTCCAACAGCTGCTATTCAGGCCTTCTCCCCATTTCTTCCGTCATGGAAAATCCAACAGTTTGGAGGATTGACGTGTTCCAGGTAGAGCTTAAAAAGAAAGGACACCCTCTCTCGGATGTTCACACCAAGTTAGATAAACATTTCCATCTTATCAGTACACCAGTAAGAAGGTAGAAGCAGCAGCAACACTGGACAGGCAAATGCATCAGTGACACCCAGGTTCTGCCACTGAGGGAGACACTTGTCTAATGATTTGGAGTCGCCTTTTGTTTCAGTTAATCTAAAGGGTTAAACCTCAATGGTTAAACCAGCTTCAACATTTGATTCCCTTGGTGAATCATGGAAAGTGGACATCTAGGCTCCAAATTTCACTATCGTAATAATAAAGATAATAGATCATGCCTGCCTCTCTATGATGGATATGTAGGATTAAATCTCCCATAATTCCCAGACAACACAATCAATGGCTCATGGATATCCTGGGTTGGGATTCTGGAGAAGTTGTCAAACCTATTTGAAGGGCACCAGGTTGGAAAATGCTTTATGATGAAACAGAAGGCAAGTAGAATTAGCTAGTGAATGACAGTGGCAATGAAGTATGTAATTAGTTGAGGAACAAAAATAATGTAACTAATTTACATGAGAAAACATGTTGGGGTCACTGGGAAAAGATACAATGAAACATTGGAAACCAGCCCCCTCCCTTTAGCAAGCCAACCCTCTGTTGGCTCCAGTCCCGCCTTCTACTATTCCATCCTTTAAATTCTTCCCTCTCATTTACCTTTCAGAGGAGTTGGTCTGTTTCCGGCAAGGGACTGTATTGCGGACACATACTCCAGTGGAAGGGTCTGTGTTCTCCACAATCACAAATGGTCTTTCTTCAAGGGTAGCCACTGTGAGGTGGCGATTATCTGACATGGGCTGCAGGAAGGATCCATAGCGTGGCCACACTGGGTATTCCATGCGGATAATTCCCTTTTCCCATTTCCCCACCTGTGCAGTAACAAAGAGTGAGAGATGCTGTTTGAACCATGTAAATAGAGCACTCTTGGATTTTTATATACCACTGTCAATAGGACATGTAAAAAGGGCTCCTTGAGAATCATCATCATCATCATCATCATCATCATCATCATCATCATCATGAGAGGAGACCATATGGAAGAAGAGCCAAATCTCTTTCTTACTTTACAGCTTAAAGAAAACCAGCAGCATGAAATGTTCCCTGAGGTCTACAAGATTAGAATATATACCAGAACAGATTCTAGAGCTCTGGGACTGGATACTGTTGACAGCCTTTGATCTACCCAAAAAAATATTTATAGCCTTTGGGCAGTCATAATCTAGAACAATTTGCCAAACAGTTTGACAGCAATGACTGACTAATGGGTGATCTGGGACTGTTAAAGTTCCATCTGTTTTATCTGGATACAGCAGTTAGAAATTTTATTTCTGTTATCCTCATTGATGGCAATCATTTTTGCACTCATGCTGCCAATGGCATTAAGCTCTAGCACTTACTTCACAAATAGATATTATTATATTAGCTTTAAACTGTGTTGGATTTCTAAATGACCTCGCAGAAATAGTCTATATAATGATATTTATTTACAAAGATTGCAAATAAATGTGATGTAACTCCTAGCAGAAAGATTTTGGATTTAAAATAGAGTAATGGGTGCAGAGATCTTCTTTGGTTCTGGGAACATTTGAACAACTCCAACAACTAGGTAGAAAATGGACTACCTTGACATGAAGCTCAGGCCTGCTGTTCTCCTGTGCTCTGTCACTAGTATTCCTGTTACTTAGACCCTACAGCCAACTGCTGAGTAATGCACCACCCCAGAAAACTTGAGGGCTATGTTTTATTTGCCTCCCTAGAGAAGCAATTGCTCAAGGAAGGAGCATAGGCACAGTCAAGGCATAGTAATTCCACTTGTTCATGGAAAGCAAAGAAAAATCTATTCATTCATCAGTATGATTGGATAACCATCCCCATCATGGATCCTATTTGAAACCAATACTGGAGTGTGCAGAAAGAACAAGAGGGAAGGGAGGGAGGGAGGACAAGGGTTTTGTGTGGCTAGATCAAAGTTGTAAAAACAATTGGGGCACTATAGTACAACCTTCTTGGATTTTGTGAAATACCAAAAATAAAGCTAGGATGTTTTCAAGCTTTTAAAAAATCCTGTTACAATTATTGTTATTTTACAAATTATATGCTTTATTAGATTTAATTTAAATATGTGTGTGTGCGTATGTTATTTTGTAGTCGAGTGTGCACATCTTATGTATACACACATGTGCATGCAACAAAAATGATATAATAATTAAAAAAAAACCTGGTTGCATTATTGTGGCCCAAGAAAACAAGAAGCATCTAGGAACATTTCTAAGATTTGTTTGTGATTCCCAGAAGCTCACCAATCCTAGCTTAAATATAAGATGAGTATTATGCCCCCCCCACCCATGTTCTTCTCTAGCTTGGTTTTTAAATCTGAAATCTTCAAAAGATCTTTTAAATCTTTTTTCTTTAAAAAAGAAAACTGGACACTGGTGATAAAAACACATTGCTAAAATGTTGGGAAAATCAAAAGGCCTTCATTTGATGCCGAAACAACATCAAAGTAGGCATTAGGTGATTCCTGTCTTGAAGAAAGCAGCATGATAGAAATATGGCCTTTTCCTCAGTCCATACACATTCTCTATTTGACAACAAGGGCCTTTCAAGCGTAACCTTCAAGACATTATATGGGTAGATCCCATGGAGATCTTTCAGATGTACCTCCCCAAAGCCTGAAATTTATTAAACATTTTGTCTATTTTTTAAAAAGTTTAAATTAAACCTTACATTTTCCCATGTATGTTTCAAGCCAAATTCTATTTATTTATAATGGTTCTGAAATCTACAAATTCAGTTTTGAGACATACAAACAATTCCTTTCAAAGTTGATTTTACCCTTATTCTCAGCAGAACTCAGACAAAATATTATGGTAAAAGGAAGAAGAGTTAATATAAAGTGGTGAAATAGGTTTCATTTGTTTGTTTGTTTTTTGCTTATGATTTGGCATGTCTCCTAAGCCCTTCATTCATGGGGTATTAGAAGCAGTTAACAAACAGCTTATCCTAGAGTTGCAAATGCAGACAAATTTTAAATGTTTGAGTAGAATTGTATTCTTTATTCCTAATAGAGGTATTGCTATGATATATGGAAAACAGAGAAAGACATATCACAAAGGAAAAGTGATAATGGAAAGCAATTATACAAATAGCTTATTTAATTAACATCAGTATCTTTCTACTAATAGTGTTTATCTCTTCCCGATTATTTTTGTAATTATCCAAAGATAACATAAAACCCAATCAGATATATTCAGATAATACACAACGAGGGAGAAATGGAGAAATACTTAGATATCACAAGCAACTTGTTTCCCTTCCTTTTTGCCAGTTGCCATATAGAAAATTACACTGCAAATGTTTAGACATCCATCTGTGCATGTGGGGAGCGGGAGGAGGGGAATAACCTCAGCGATACTCTCTCATTAACAGAAGTACTTAATTGCATGAATGGATTCTAGCAAAGTTGATGGTGCCATCTAAATGCCCAGCTAGCTAGAATCATTCTAAAGTTCCTCCAGTTTTCTGGAACATTCTAGGTAAATGGGATGATTGCTCCAGAGCGTACAGATATGGGAACATTCCTCAAAACTGAAAGCCTAGTCAGAATAAATGAAATGAACTTGGAATGGCAGAAATTGCAACGAAGTATTGAATGCTGGCTCAGGACATTTTATTATTTGAGATGGAGCAGCATCATATTATTTCATTAACAATTAGCATATTTATTATTATTTAAATCTAGAGCATACAAGGTCCAAAATCAAAAATAGCCATGCATGTAATGTGGCAAAGGTCAAACTTTTCACCCTCCCTGTTCTAATATCCACCCACCCCTGATTGAGGTCTGAGGTTTTAAAGTCCCTCTTCTGTATAAGATAGACTTGTTTTAAAATGTGGTCATTTAGGCTGATTTGTGAAGGAGAAAGTAAATGGGCAGTTGCATGCTGCTCCTGTAACATAACATGCAGCCATACTCATTGGAAAGGTTATTTGTAAAGTAAACATAGTAAAGATTCTTTGCCGCCTGAGATAGAACTTAATTCAATTACTGTTGTCCCTTCAAGATAAATGAATACCAATGACCTGTGGTGACTTCCTCACTTAGCTTAATGGTATGGCCAGCCCTGGGAAGCATAGGCTACATCAAGCATGGACATGATATGTGATGTAACAATGTAAATTAATATGCAGTGCTTTGAAGCAAAATATCTAAACAACTTTCTTTCACTGAGCTCTTTCTCCTCTGAAAAGCACTAATCATACTCCCCTGAAACAGAACGGTTTGGAAAGCATTGGTCGTATGTCTTTTGGATTGACACTGGTTATTAATGATGTTGTGGTTGACTCTTAAAGAAAGTTTATCCCACTTTTTTGGGGGAAGACTGTAATTTATTGGCAAGCTTTCTAATATGCCTACATGTTCTCCAGAACCTAGCCTCTAATACATAAGCAGTTTAAGCCAATTTGTTTTCACATCATTTGTCTGGTTTTATTTTTTAATTCAATTTTTCATGACTGGAAAGAAACAACAAAGTCATCTTGCACAATGAGCATTCATCCAACCGAGTTATGTGCCTTGTAACATGTGATGCCTCAACCCTCCATTGCAAATTAAATGAAATAGTTGTGAACACACAAAATAAATGAATCCCAAAAATAATTTCATAGTGCTTCAGTTTGTTTATGAAATGAAATTATTTATTTTAATGGCAGGATAAGAAAGACTGCACTGCACGAGCAAGAAGGACAGTAGGAGGTGACATTTGGGGACAGTCAATTGCAATTCTTTCTCAGAATTCTCTGAACTCTAAGCCTTCTTTTGAAAAAGCCTGAAAGAAATCAGGCTGCTTTAATGAGTTCCAGAGAGGTACCTATGCTTGACTTAAATGTAAAGCAGTTCTTCTGAATGATGTTTGAAATGTGCATAGCCCTAATATTCATAACAGAGATACAATTTTAAGAAGATCTACAAGTTTTTTAGGTTTGAATCAGTCTTCCCATTTGGCATTTTCTACATATGTTGGTTTTGTGGCCATGGTGGCTGGGAATTCAGAGAGCTGCATTCTCATTATATCTGAGGGGGGGGGGGGGCGGTATTTTAA